CCAAGAAGCGACGCCGTTTGGAACGCCGATCGGGCGGGAAGGCCCAGGCTGCTAAGTCTGAAAAGCCTGGCAAATACAAGAGCAGTGAGATGGTTGTTGACTCTGATGATGAAGAGGCGGCTGGGTCTGCTGGTGAAGACAAGGATGATCTGTTTGGCGACGACGAGCCGGCTGAAGAAGTTGCGCCGCGCCGTCGTGGCAATGCTGCACGTCGTATTGCTGATGATGACGAAGACGAGGATGAGGAAGAAGAGGTGCAACAAGAAGTGCAAGCTGAGAAGTCTGGCAATGAAGATAACGACGACGAACTGTTCGGTGAGGAGCCTTCAAAGCCTACTACAGAGGACACGGAGATGCAGGAGTGAATTGCCACATTACTTTTCTTTCTGTTACTATTCGTTCTATTTTCTATTTTTCTTTCCAGCCGTCTGAGGGGCCTCTCAACTGCAATACATTTTTTCGACTTTCAAATGTAATTTAGCAAAAAAAAAGGAAATGCATTGTTCAAACAAAACCCATTGAGATACAAACTCCCCAGGTAATTGGCAAACGCCACAGGGAACGGTCAAATACCGGCTCTTACAGACCTAAAAATCCAGGGAAATACCATTTCACTGCCTAAACTCGAAATGGAAGATGGGGAAAATAAATTAATCAGGCCCAAGCGTAAACGCACATGCCTTTAATCTGTATAGATGTAACTCCATATTCCGTAGAACGAATCTGCTCAGGCGTAATCTCCACTCGGATTTCCGTTGTTAGTCCGTTCTTAGATGGCTTGGAAATGTAAGACGAGGCTTGCGCAGCCCCCAATCTGTGTGGTGGGATTAATCCCTGTCACCCATATGGCGTAACAAGCAGTTATGTCTTGGTCAGTGCAGTGCTTGTAACTGTATATGGTAGTAGGTGTACGAAGTAGTATGGTTGGATTGGGGGCTATCTCGTTTATTAGGGTTATGCTATTCGGAGTGCGGAGGACTCCGTACTATCTTTGATCTAGTTAGAGAGTATATAGAATATAGAATATGGATCTTAGATTTGCCTTATTGAACTTTTACAATCCCAGATACTCCATAGAGTTATTCCAGATCAATAATATTTCTACATAGAATAGTAGGTAGGAACCATATCATGCCATCGACATGAAAATGGATACTACCTAACGCCCCGGTGGGACCCAGGAGCGATTGGTACTTTTGTAAGGAATTGGGTTCCTCTAATTACAAACAAATCTCACGGCTAAATCTATTGTAGGTCACGGGCGTTATTTTCTTTAAGCTTAAGGGTCCAAGATTAGGGCTGTTGGCCTTGTCTTATTAGTATTTTCAAATATTAGATGTGAAAGAGGCTTGATTTCTGTTAAAACCTGGTTTTAGGCAAAAGGATATATCGAGCGCTCGCAGGATTTCACCGAAATACGGACATCCACTCCCCAGCTACGCCTGTGTCATAGATCGAGGCCATGTCCACATTGTCCAAGCTGGCGCTAAGTTCCTGGAGCATATCAGCTACCACGCCACAAACATGCTCAGATCAGGTACCATACAATACGTACTTTAGGTGACTTGGCCATCTAGGATGTCTCTAGTCTGTCTATCCACTACAGGTCCAGGTAAGGACAGTTCGAATCAAACTACTACAATTGAGTACGGACCTACCAGACCCCAGCTCAAGCAGTTCTCAACAACTCCAATCTGGGAAATTTGAACACATATACAAATATGTTACGGAGTACACTCTCGTTGCCCCCGTCCCCCATAAGGACGTGATCAGCGTTAGCGCCAGTGATAAAGATTTGGTGTTATCAAGTGCTCTTAGCACCGGTTGATAGCCAACTTTTGAATGAATCTATCATCCATACTCCGTAGAGCAAAGACAATTAAGAATTGGACTTCTTCATTCTGAACTCGAATGACAAATAAATAGCGCTATAGACGTATCTAATCCTTGGAAATCGAAAGTCTAGGCTTCAATATTGCCGCATTCGAGACTTTGAATATGAACTCCGTACTCCACACGGAGCACAGAGTGCGGAGTAGACAAAGCAAGAATAGCTATTTCAATAGTCTATCATATGTTTGCCCGCTATTTGGTTATTCCGAAGAGCTCAACCTTGGTAGTCTCATGTATCACAAAATTTCCTTTGCAACGTGAAAGGAGTCCCCTGCATGGAGTATCACCAACACACCTAATCCCTGATATGCCCTATTACGCACCTTAAAGTCTAACAATGCTAGGTTACATCAGGACCCTGGATCGTACATACGAAGTAGCATTTTAACACAAGCGCGTTTATCTCCAATTGAAGGCTGATAGGTTCAGCCTCAGTACGGGGTAATATCGCAGATATGAACCCCTATCCTACAGGGGATAAATCTATTCTCCTAGTAAATAGTCCCAACGGGCTTCTACATATGTACTTTACCCAGATAGGCGACCGTTAGGGTACGGGAAAATGGCGGAAGAAGACAGATTTGATTTTAACGGAGTTATACATAGCTCGGGAACAAACTGCCTCAGGGGATATTAGATCTGTCGATCTCTAAAATAGGAACGTGTTCATAGGTGAACCAGAGAGTTGACAGAATTAACAAACTTAACCATAATAATAAGTTTCATCCTTCCATTTCTAGAACTCCTTTCAAACCTTGTCCTACTATTCTCCAGGGCTCTTCCCTACCTATATATCTATACTATAACTATTAACCTTTTCAATTTATCTAAAGGCTTGATCTATTTTTTTGTAAAAAAAAAAAAATTTAATCCAGTCTCCTACTCTATTCGATCTTGTACTTCGTAAAAATTCCAAAAATAAAAAGAGATCTAACAATCGGCACTCCAATTTCGGGGCATACTCCTGACGCAGATCTAAGGAACAACACCGGGAACGCTTGGGCCTATAATATTAACAGACACGGTGCTCGACGACGATCACCGTGGACGCGAACGGCCGGTGGAGATAGAGAACGTGTTAGTTGGACCTTCTGGAAGGGTATAGTAGTGTATTAACCTCGGGGTATGTTGTATGTGGTAGATCTTAAAGTTCAAACACGCATGTGGCCCCGAGTACGAAAGAGTAAGAATATGAACGAGGTATGTGGTACGAAGCACGCAGGTACAATAAGAACACTGTCTCATAACATGTTCTAGGCAACAAGATCGTCAGGAGTCCACTTTACAATCCAATACACATTCTGACTAGCGGTATATTGGACTCTGAAATAGAAAGAACCTTTTTTTTTGGATTTTCTTCTTGTTTCGAATGTTAAGAGGTGTGTCCACTTCACAAGATAGGAAGCTGCCGATGTAGACTAAGTAAATATTAGAATATGCGAGGTCACAGTAAAAAGTAATGTGCAACTAATTCTATGTACTACATAGTACGTCCAGGGTAATATGCACATACCAGGCACAATATACCCCGCCCTGAGACAATGCAACTCCCCGAGATGTAAGGAAGCGGTGATTCCCGGATAGTCACATTCTTCAGCTTCGATCTTGCATCCCCGAGGCAGTATGAAGTGTATGTTTTACTTAAGTTAAAACAAATATGAAGTTCGCTTCGAATTTGCATATGGGGGGGAACCGGGAGTCCCCGAAGCTTGACTTTAGTGGACAGCCCCTACAGCTAGGTATGATCACAGGAACAAACTCGCATGGAGACCCTTGCCCACTCTTTTTTCTCACAGGGATTAGATGAGTTCAAGAGAAATGCCGATAATATACTATAGCACGTGTATACCTAGGCTATAATACCATAATGTAATACAATGTTATTATGAAACCCCACTATTGGATCCCGTAGATTGCGATCTGTCAGGTTCTCCCAAGCCCTATAATTTTTCAAGAATCACTTTTAGGGCCGGATCCTTTAGTGATTAAAACCGTTGAACCGAGGCTCCGCTATACGACGCGGGGAAGGGAAGAGGCGTTTATAGGTTTCAGGCCTCATGCAAGGCAAAGATTAGAAAGAGAATACATTTCCCACAAAGAAAAACAAAAAAAAGCTATCTAGGTATATACAATGTTGTAGATGAAAGACTGTGCGCCCCCAACTTATCGTGATAAGGGCTTGTCTCTCCACACGGAAGTCTGGGCTCCTCACCCTACCTTGGTACAGATGTAAGGAATTGGAATTTCAATATTATCATTGGATATTCAATTGAATATTTTGCCCAATAGTATTAACTTGTATATACTAGGATAATATGCACGAGTACGGAGTATTATCGTAAGTACTCGGAGTAAGAAATCTATAGAGATCGCGTATATTGCATCCCGTGTCCACGGGTCAAAGCTAACGGTAAAACCTTTTTGAACCTTGGGATGGGTAAAAATGAACCTTGGTAAAGAAATAAAATAACCAAAACGGGGCGTATCGGACCGCGGATACTTGCTAAGAAAGGAATAGTTTCTTTTACTTTTCTTCCCCACACGCGGGTCCCCCAGCACGTTCAGAACCAACCCCCTGGCTCGATGAATATCCCACTACGGTATTCGGCTCCGTGACACTGGGAATTTCTTTAGCATGGGGATGTACCTTTGGTTATCCCGTGTTTATATTGTTTATATTGTATTTGCTTTACTTTCTTATTTTTGGGAAGGGAAATATGATAGATAGCCGGCTGAGTGCATAGTGTAAATGCCCGTTCTAATTCAAACAAAGAGATAACAAATAGATCAAATAATAAGGAATCGAAATATCGAAAACATAGGAATCAGAACCATGGATAACATCATATACTAATAATGGAAAAAACCAAAAAATAAAAAATAAAAGGAAAAGGAAAAGTAAATACCATAAATACCCCTGAACGCGGCTCCACTACTCCGTGTCTTGTATTTCACCCGTCATCGAGTATTATATTAATTTATTATCATCGGCACCTCTCTCTGTTCCACTTGAGAACCGTTCCTTTCCACTTTCGCTCTTTTAGTAGACAGCGGAGATCTCCAGATTTCATCTTATCATGGTGTAGCCTCTTTCCTTTACTTCCACCATGTCGACCTTTGCAACCATGGCTAAAGCCTGGGACAACGACGATAGTGACCGTCCGTCCACGAACTCGTCCAACGAGTACCCAGAACATGCCGCACATATCCGTTCCAGGTCCACTGCCCACGCTCACAGCCCCAAGCGTCTGTCTGTCTTTGGCGGTCGGTCAAGAAGCAATACTACCACCTCAACTTCTTCACGGCGGTCACCGGGTTCTTCTATGACTTCGACAGATAGTTCAATTGCCTCTGACGAGCGGGCTGTCTCGTCATTGGGACTCCGCTCCGATAAGCAGGACAAGCCATCCCGCTCCTTTTTGGCGCGGGGAAGTCGCATCCTGCGCCGACAGGGTAGCAAGATCAACATTGTCGCCACGCTAGATGAAGAAGATGAAGCCGATCGTGAGAAGGCCCGGCCTGAGAGAGAGATGTTTGGCCGTCGCGCCCGCCATGCCGATCACAGTAAGTGTGCTGGCTACTCAGTTGTTTGATAGTTGAAATTGTGGACTCAATTGACCCCGGGAATCGATATAGGCGAGCGCTTGAAAAGCATTATTTCTGACCCTTTCGACTTCCACCACTTGACTCATACCAATCCCTCGCAGTTCCAATCTTTGGATCAAACACGCGAGAATGACCTCGTTACTGAGTTCTCCGCCATCCGAGCATCCCAACGGCCCCAGACCGATCTTAAAGGTATCCGCGCCGAGGATATTCATTTCCGCAATTTCTCCAGTGATGATCTAAACTCGCTTGGAACTGCCACCACGGTGGATGTGCCCAGCGTAAGCCCGCCGGCTTCTCCCAAGCCACACCGTCATCACGCACGCAGAGAATCGCGCGCCAATGAGAACTTCTCGCGGCCAGTCTCTAGATATCCCCGATCCTGCCCCACCACTCCCCCACCTCCTACTGTGCCGGAGAACCCAGCGCCTGAGACTGGTGAGCCCGCACCCCGTGCCATTGACGAGATCCTGGGCTTGTCCACTGCGATGACATACCCCGAGTGTCTCCAATCAGCGCAGCCAACCAGGTTTTTCAGTCCCGAACCCACAGATGATGGCCCCCGGGCCTCGTCCATGAGCAGCCATTATGATCTGGAAGATGTCCCCGAGGAAGAGGAAGGAACCCGGTATTGGGACAGTTCTCAGTCCAGCGTGGGCCCCCATTCTCGCTCAACTTCTCAAACCAGCCCACCTCGCAATACCCAGTCACCCAGACCCAGCACCAGCGAGCGCAAAGCTCCATTGTCGATCTATGTGGCCGAGGAGCTCTCTAGGAAGTTCTCTGAGGCGCTTGGCTCGCCGACTCTCCCTCAACATCTTCAGGACACCCCTCGCGCCCAGGTGGAAGTCACACCACCCGAGCCAATCGCCAACCTAAACCGATTCTCACAGGAGGATGAATTGTATGACTCGTGGGACGCAGACATCGATTACTGCTACGAGCACGCAGCCGAGTCCACCTCTAACTTCGATTGGTCTCGCACATCCCTGGAAGAAACACGTCCTCAGGTTGGCGTAGCCTGCAGCGAGGGTCCCTGGCTCTCCCCGAGAACCCGACAGCTCCAGCCGAGCCCACTGAGCACCTCCGCCCTACCAACCCCAGACCTGGCTCCCAGTCCGGTCCAGTCGATGCCCTCCCACTCAGCCGCCACCCCTTCAACAACAGACTTTGATCAGGAGTTCATCGCGCGGGGCGCAGACTATTTCCATCCCGTCAGTTCCACGATCCTCCCAATGGGCAAACCTCTCTCCCACGAACCATTATACGAGGAGTACATGACGACTGATGGCGAATCAGACCGCCACTTCCCCTTCTCGCAGGGCATGATGGGCCCCATCTCTCCACGCAGCAGCTTCTCCCCGATAAGCAAATGCAACTCACAGGAGAGCCTGATGCTCTCACGCGCAGCCTCTATCGTGCGCAAGCATCGCTCCTCCGTCTCCACGACAACCAGCGTCCCAGAGCTCATCTACAGCTTGTCCAGCAGCCGTGAGCTCATGCCAACAGACCGCATGACAGCCGGCGAGGCACTCACCCGCCCTGCGTCTTCCTCCCACCACCGCCAGACCAAGAGTCTGGCCGAGGCACACCTCCGACAGAATGGCAGCAGCACGAGTCTCGAGGGCACGGATATTCCCGTATCGCTTCATGACCGTGCCAAGTCCACTTCAGAAGTCGAATCACAGCCGATAAAATTCGAGGCTCCTCTCCCTCCTGTTCCTCCTAGAAACCCAAGGAGGAAGGCTCGCTCGCCATCTTACTCTCTCTTCCCAACAACTGCTCACTGAGTGTCACTATCGTTATCATCAACACCCCCTATTTTGTTGATTTTTTTTTCTTTTTTTCACCCCCTTGCATATGATCTATCCCTGGACAACTCTCGCTTTGTCATGGTAGATCCTCCTCTCAACGAGTCCACGATCTGTGTTTTTCCTATTGTCTTTGTTTATCTGTCTTTGTCTGTGAGCCATATTTTCTTGTGTGTTTCAGCTGTGGTCATTCTTTCATCTGCATTTCTCAGCGATAGCGTTTACTGGCCTGGTGTATTGGAAGGATTGGGAAAGAGAAAAAGAGGAAAAGGAAAAGGATTTGGAGGAATTTTGGAAGTTTTGGGTCATTCGCTTTTTTGTTCTTTTTTTTTTATAGACTTCGATTCTTATAGAGGAGCTGATCGGCTCCAATACCATCCCTGGTTTGATTGGCACTTTGCAAGTATAGCTTTGTAGGACATGGGTTCATGTATACTGGAATAGGTGGATCAGCATGACTGCGTTTGAAGTGAAAGATATGTAAGATAGTTGATAGGCTAGTCAAGTTATAAAGATACTGAAAGCTGATAGATAACCCATACTGGACTAGGTCGATCAGAATGACTCTGCGTTTACATTAAAGTGAAGGATATGTAAGAAGATAGTCGACAGGCTAGTCAAGTGATAAAGATACAATTAGAATCATTCACAGAACATCTTCGAGCAACTATTACATGTATTTCTGTCTTTCTTTCTCTTCCACCTGGGTTCTATCTCATTCACCACCAAAACGATGTCAATATGCCACCAAAGATGAAGGCATAGCTGCCCCATTCCACAGAGCCCAGAAAGCAGGCACACTCCCATGGATTGGCGCCATCACACTTTGATATCTCTTGTCCTTGAGGTAGGAGAGATTGCGAGAAGTCAAATCCCGAAGCGGGATATCAGTAATGGTTTCAAACGCAAATCGAGGACTCGAGTCCTTGCGAAAAGCCTCCTCCTCCTCCTCTTCCTCCTCCTTCCCCCATACACAATCAAACGTGTGAAATTTCCATCGGGGATCATCTGAGCTGAGACCAGATCCCAGGTTGATCCAACTCGTGACAACTGCAGTGACATGATCATCTGGTCTATTTTCAAAGATTTGAACATCGTAGTCGATGTTGCAATATTCGCACCTCGAACACTTGGACCGGTAACTATTCCGAGTGATGCACTGCATCCAAAATGTTTCTAATGTGTGTTTGCAAATTTGGAAGAGCGCAAAATACGCTTGGTCCACATCGTCATAGTCTTCATCGTGGACGGTTGATGCTATGCTTCTCATAGACATGATATGCTGAAAGCGCAGAATTAAACTCGGTGGGTTGGGGGATATCTGTGCATCAAACGAGGATAACTTGGTTGGACTGGCGACACGGTCTCCCGGGACATAGTGACATGTTACTTCGGTGTAGGATAGTGCATCTGTGCTAATCCCATATTCGGGACCGCAGTAGAAGCGTCTCATGGCAAGCTGGAGATGAGAAAAGTGAAGCGCATAATGAGAGGGGCTCTTGGTATAAAATGTACAACTACCTATATAAGGCAGACAGTCAATGCGAGGCGGGTAGCTATATCTCAGTGAGGGTGGTAGCGTCAAGGGTTCTGATATATTGCTGAAATCGTGAAGGGAAAGGCAGCTGTCGCAAACATAGTAGTGTGGGTGATCATGTTCGAGGCGATGTAAGAAAGACAACCGAACTTTTCGTTCCAAATGTTGGTGTTTTGTCCGGTTTCTGAATATTGCGAGAAGTCGATGGTTGCAAAGGGAGAGGCAGTAGATATCCTCGAGAGGGAGGAAATCTGCTATTGATAATAATATCTCAACAGGAAGGGCATCTAGGAAGTTCTGTCCTAGAACTTTTGGGGTAGGAGATGTGATAAAGATGGGTTTAAGATACTGATCTATGACTCGGGGCCGGGGAAGAGGTGTAATGGGAATGGTCGTGAGAGCTTGATTGACAGGGGGATTTCTTTTCATCGAGTCCGACATGGTATACATTAGATGTAGATGAAGATGGTAAGACAAATAAGCAAAAGAATAGTAGTTAGAAGAGATGAAAGGGTTCAAGAGTCTTCCAAGTGCAAGTCCATACTTGATATGAGTAAATATGATGAGTATGTAGTCCCGAAGAGGCTTAACACCAATATGAAGAGTACTTAACCTTGGAACTCTATCAGATTTATATCTATATACGGAATAGTAGCTAGAAATGTAGCCATGGTTATCTATATGAAAAGATTTTCGTGTCTTTCAGCCCTGGCGAAAGGGACATCCGAGGACTTTATACTCGAAAGGGAAGTCCGATCTATGAAGTCTATATTGATGTAATAACATACATATTCCCCAATGAAAATCAATTTGGTTTATAAAAGATGGTCATTTCTTGGAAAGCAATTTAATGGATAGCAATATCTAGCTTTTTGGCAAGACTAGGACACCCAAAAGTGCTGCGCTCAGTGACTACCATAGCATCGCATCGCACATCACCCTGGATATGTTTCCGGGGTTCTATGTCTTTGTGAAACGCATGTCGCACTGATCTATAAATGGCCCATTTCTGTCAAATATGCATTTATTCAACACCCTATAGTATAATCGAATTTGAATACTTCATGCGAAGGGAGATGCGGAATGATCTCTACTATTCCTTCTGGATTGGGGTTCGGATTAGTTATAGGCTTTTTCTGAATCCTTGGAATCCAAGGGCTGATCTCTTCCCTCGAATCCAAATCTCTAATTGACAATGTGTTGGTAGCCCGGTGTAGCTAAGATGAGGACCTGAAGTGAGAACATTGCGACAAGCAGGAGGGAGAGCAGGAAATAGGAAAGATAGAGAGGCAAGACGGCAGAGGGAAGAAGCGACTGCTGTAACCCCTCGAGGTATAGTAAAGTGTAAAATAAAACAAACATGAGAGATAAGGGGAGAGAGGAAAAAAGCAACCCCCTGGGTTTGCACACCCCTGGGGTCAAACCAGGTGCATATCAAACCTAACACCTCTCCATCACAACCTGGGGACAACATGTTTCTTATGCTGGAAGGATACCAACTGCACTATAAGGGGGTTACTTGGAAATATTGGTGTTTTTCTTAGATTTATAGAATCATGCCCAAATAGGAAGGAACCACCTAGTATCATACTATAGCGAGGCTTCCAAGTCTATCAATTTTGTCTGAGTCCTGACTTAAAATTCACTCTACCCTCATTAAAGTAGTAGAATAGGAAATCATATGGTAATAGACAAGTAGAAGTCATCTAGTTATGTAGCTCATATGGTATCACATGCTTACTGCCTAGATTATTAGGCCTGGATTTGCTATTCAAGTAGCTTCCTTATTTGTAGAGAATCAATTTTATTTTTCTCTTTTGCTCTTTTCCTATCTCTACCAACATGTTATGCAAATCCATGTAGTCTAGTGGCGTCTGAAGTATAATTGCCTAAAGCGGTTAGACCAGATACCATACCTGCTATCCGTCTTATCGCCACTACAGCTGCCTCTTCTTTCCTTATTCTCTCCCCCCAGGCTTTTGCTCTACAAACATGGCGTCTCCTCCTTCACAGCTGGTCAAGCAATCTGCTGGCCAGCTTATGCCTCCCCCACCACCACCGAAGCGAATTAAACGTCCCGCAACTGTCCTTGATGAAGACATTTACACCAACACTTTGTCCCACATCATCGCCCGCGACTTCTTTCCTGGATTACTTGAGACACAGATGAAACAGGAGTACCTGGAAGCTCTTGAATCGAAGGATAAAGCATGGATTGCAAGCTCTAAAAAGAAGTTGGCAGACGTCATGCGCACGCCCACCCCGGGGTCGAATGCAAGACGAAAGTCAGACTATGCATCGGTCCCGAGCACACCGCAGCATTTCCCGCCGGGACAACCGGGTGACACTCCGCATGGCTGGGGAGGCGATACTCCCATGTCTGTCATATCGACTTCCACAACAGCAACTGAAACGCAAGATAGACATATCCCCGATGTATCGAATATGGGACTGGTCGCCTTCCAGGCAAAGTATACCAGCGAAGACAACGAGTCCTTCAACAAGGTCCTCGACAAGCAGAATGAAAAGCGACGGGAGAAATATCCCTGGCTTTGGAGTGGGAACAAAATTCCTTCGGCCCGACAAATCGCACACCACCAGCAAGAAATCAAGCGCATCACAGCTCAAGGCGGAAACCCGGAAACTGGCCTTGTAAAAAAAGACGAGCATGCCCAGCCAGCCATCAAAACAGACCTGAATGCTCGCCCCGCCAATCCGGACACATGGAAAACCCGCCCAGATAACACCCTCATGTTCCTCCCCTCTTCGGTGGAGGATACCCACGAGACACTCCCGCAGAAGGCAGAAATGACATCACGGGCAGGCCTCAAGCGTACACTCTATCAAAACACTAGACTCCTAGACCCACATGCTGCCGCAGCAGCAGACGCTGCCAGCGCCGTGCCCCCTTCCCCCTCACTATCCGCTATTCAAGACGCTATCGCCGGTCGGCCGCATCTCAGCGAGTCCGAAGCTGCATCCGCCTTCGCGGGAAGCGAAACCCCGAGGGTAAACGGATATGCCTTCGTGGACGAGGATGAGCCCGAACCAACAGACGATATGGAAGTTGACTGGCGCCTCCTCGGGCCGACCTCCGAAAAGCCCAATCCCTTCAAACTTGGTGAGACTCGCAAGCGCGAAGCCCTACATCACCGCATGGTCGATCGTGTGGCGCGGAACAAGCGTGCTGAAAAAGCCGCCCGTGTTACAAAGACGCCTGTCTCGATGACGCCACGCTTTGCTAGTAGTCCCCGATTGGACTTTGCGTCTACACCTGGGGCTGGGTCTAGTAGGGGCTCTGTCTCTGGGGGGCATGGCCAAGGAAAGATGCTTACACCTGCAGCGCAGAGGCTGTTGCAGCAAGTCGGGAGGACGCCGAGGTCTGGAGAGAGGAAGTCTGGGCTGGGAAATGCTTGGACACCTACACCGAAGCGAAAGTGATGGTTTATGACTTTTTTTTTTACTCTATTTTCTAGCACGATACCACGGAGTAACTCCAACGGCGTTTCATTATTAATTCAATCACAAATGCCGGTACATCCGGTAGTTTTGCATATCAACAGTAGAACGAGTTCACAACATTTGAAGACTTCAGATAATTTGAGTGGGACATCGGAACGAACAGGAACCGCACGAAAACAGTTACCCGATGCCGATACTTCTCTCTTTAAACATGTCCTTATACACGAAATTGCAGCGTAGATTAGGCATAGAACTCGTGAGTCTGCTTTATAACTATAAATATTTTACTAACGAGATAACAGATCCTGGAGAATTGATTATATGAGATATCTGGTATATCAAAATGAGCATCGAGACAGAGAGCCAGCCTACTCCATCAGCAACACCTACTGAAGATATCTCCAAGGTCAAAGAGATATCACCAGAGACATCAAAATCAGAAGAGAAAGAGAAAGACACATCCACATCAAACTACTCCCCAGCAAATCTACTCTCAAGTCTCCTCTCTCCATTCTCTTTCTCAGGCACATCTTCAGAGCCAACAATATCAAGCAAAGAAAAGAAGGAGACCAAAACTCCAACTAAAATATCAATCGAAACACCAACACAATCCCCAGAACCATATTACACCCCCGAAGAAACACCTCTCTTCAAGACCCTCTACAAAACCCGTCTAACAAAAACTCGCACAAAACAACTCCTCCGTGCAGGAGAGCGGGCATACAATGACCCACCGCCTCCACCGGGACTTGGTGATTGCTGTGGGAGTTCGTGTGACCCCTGTGTAAGGGATTTATGGAAGCAAGAGATTGGGATTTGGAGGGAGAGATGGGGGGATTGGGGTGTTGAAGATGGAGCAAAAGGGAGTGAGAAGAAAGAGAAATTGGGGAAGAAGAAAGAGTTAGAATGGTAGTATGAAATAGAACAGTTCAATAGAACTATAAGGATCAATATATTGTCCCAGGGTCTCTCCTACTAGAGCAAGTAATGTACCCTTCCAATTTACACCTGATATGTTTTAGTACCATAAGAATGAAAATATACTCAAAAAACACATATATCTACATCAAGTACATAACCCCCATAACCAGCAAACTAAACAACCAACCCCAAGCACCCATCCTCACCCCAAGATTCAAATAATACACAGCTCCAAGATAAGAGCAAGTAATTATGCCCGTCTCATTCCGAAGGGGCCGCTGTCCGTAGGAAGAAGCCACCAAATCTCCCGTAGGACACTCGAAGCCAAGTGCGGACGGACAACTCCGAACGAGGTTATGACAGATATCCTCACAAGGAAGGATCTCCTTATAAGGACCAGGCATGATCTGCTCATCGATGATAGCATTGCGGGATTTATTCGTCGCCACGAGTTTGCGGTGCGGACTGTCATCCGGTAGGGAAGAGCCATTTATGAAAGATTGGCCCGCGTTACGGATGAACAGGTAGTCGGCATCGTTACTGTAGTCCGCGCAGCGGGGGATTGTGACGCCGCAGAGCCATTGTTTGTAGGCGCTTGCGCAGTCATCGCAGTCGACGGCGAGGGAGAACATTGATTCTTGGGTTGCGTTGCATTGGATTTGTTGCAGGGAGTAATTGAAGTTCTGGTAGTAGGCGGCGGCGTGGTCGTCGTAGATTGTGCGGAGTTTGTCGACGCTTAGTTTAGGGTTTGACGGGACTGCGTATGCCACTTCTGAGCAGAAGGTTAGGTTGAATAGCACGGCGCAGTTATCATCTGGGAGATGGTTAGATGAATTTACTTGTAGTTGTTTAAGCTTGCTTACCTGTTTTCGTTGTAAAGTTCATCGGTTTCCATACCTTGCCGCCGCCGCCGATGATGCCATTGCCAGACGCGGTCGAATTGCCAATCATAGCTAGAAGTCCGCTGTATGAGGAACTTTGGTTCAGTCCGGTAATATAGAACTGTTCTTTGGGCTTATTTCCAAGTCCACGATTGGTCATGCCAACCTCAGTTGAATTACTGATTCGACCCATCTGCGAAAGCTCATCGAGGGCGCAGAACGATTTCTCCAAGCCCTCCAGTGCTGTGTCGTTGATGTTGTGGGCAAACATAGTATATGGCGGGACGATGTTCATCCATTGACGGTAATTTGAGGAGTTGGACTCGGACAGCGTGAGGTTGTTCGTCACCAGCAGCGCGGATGATACGTCCGCGTCGATGAAGAACAGATTTGGGTCATCTTCCACAATACTGTGAAAAAAGGCATCAATAGACGCTGCAATCTGGTACTTGTAACTTCCAATGTAGTCGGTTGAATTAGGCGCTGCGACGCCGATGAAGACGTCGCTGTCCGCGTCAATGGTGATTCCCACATGCCCGCCAACGGCAGTGTGCATATCCTGCTGCGAGTCGTCTTTGCCCGGTCCTGGCTGTTGTAGTTCCTTCGAAGTCGACACATACATCTGTAGTTGTGGAAATCCGTCTTGTGGGTTGGTCACATTGGCAAGTGGCTTTTGGCAGGTCGTGAGCGATAAGTAGACTGTCGTCATCGCTCGCTTTGAGAAGTCCTCGTCTCGTTTTCGTAGCTCACGGGCGGTATCATGGTCATCTTTAACCGTAGCATTTAAATATGCAGGAAGGCCCTTGCCTTTGGGATCGTGTTTGCCGTTCACCACATCGTGGGGCAGGTAGAACCATTGAACAAGACCGAGCTCAAGCTCGCCCGGCGCGAATTGGTTGTTGCCTAATGCTTTCGCGGCATTAGGGGCTCTCCGCACAAGCTCCAGCCCATTTGACTCGCCATCTTCGTCGACACTGTCACGAAGTTCCAGCCCATTGAACGAGTCCAGCGTAAGTGGGAGTCCTGCCCCGTCGCTGATAACAGCCCCTCGGAGGGTCAAGGTGTCCTCTGTATCCGGAACATTGGGAGAGTCGGCATAGGCGAACGAGTCGCAGGTAAGTGCAAAAATAAGGAAGATCGCGCTAATCGTTGCAGTAAGATAGCACTGCAGCGCGTTGTATTGACGTCGCATGGAAAGATGGAGGGGAGGGTGTCGCTGACAGACTATGGGCAGAATTGGAGACAAATAAAGATATCACAGGCAAGCGGTGGTATACACCAGCTGCAAACCTCTTCTTAGAGGCCAAATCAACGGCTGCATGTAGTCGACGTGAGAGTTGTTTGGATGAGGCTGGTTATCGTGGAAAATGCCAGCCTTATCAATCTTGCTGCCTTGCTGCCTTATCCAGAGCACGCAGTGACACAGCAAACGTTTTAGCACCCATTCTGCTAACTAGAGCTTTTATATAATAGCTGCCTGTCGCTTTTATGAGGGCATTTAGAGCCAGGTTCTCTGAGTAAATTGTGTTGAGGATAATATGCAACCAACTTTCAACGGAATACACTTTGGCTTGAATTACAGTCCACAAAGAGATTTGACAATCAAGTCACCTTTTAAAGATAAAGATTGGACTTCAAGCAGGTAGTTTGGAAGAATATGAAAAATATATTCGATCGAATAGATACTGTATTTAAAACCAACGAAGAAAGAGACAAAATAAACTATCACAGTCAAACACACGCAAAATGCAGAAAAAACAAGAAAGTCACAAGGAAATCAACACAACTAGCAATAAAACAAAATCAAACCAGCCTCTGCCAGCGGGCAAGGCCGATGCTCACAATAACAATGCCTGCTATGACACCAAGAATGCCGAACCACCATGTCAATCCTTCTGTGTGGGCGCCGGGAACTTCTACGTTCATACCGAACAGACCACAGATCAGGTTCATGGGGACCAGAATCGTAGCAATTAGAGTGACTTTGCTGAGGACCTTGTTGACGTGGTTTCCCAACACCAAGTTGGTGACATTCAGCTGAGCCAAGTAATTGGTATGAGACCGGCTGAGCATCTTTTCGAAATGCGCCAAGTTCGACATCATGGTCACGACGTGATCCTGGATATCACCGAGGTAAAGACCAATATCACCACGGGGAGTAACCGAGTACTGCTCGTTACAGCGCTTGGAGAATCCACGGATGACATCGGCCTTGCCGCCTAGGAGGCGCATCAAACTCATGACCTTCTTGCGCAGGCCTCCAATGCGAGGAAGGAATGATTCGAAATCGTCCACTCGGGCGATGAAGACATGGTCTTCGATCGCCTCGGATTCCAATTCTACATCGCGAATCACAGGGCCGAAGCTATCCACGATATCGTCGATCATTGCGTAACAAATCCAGTCACTACTGAGAGACACATAGTCTCGTAGCTTTCCAATACGTTTCCGAACATTGGATGCGTGGGGGTTCTCCTCAAAGGAGAAAGTGAGCACACCGTCTCGGAAGACAACCATATAGAAATTGACAGGCTCAAGGAATTCTTCGCTGGTTTTGTCCATTTGGAAGAATGTTCGGAAACAGACAAAGTAGTACTGCTTGAACAATTCAACCTTCTCGCGGGCTTCCTGGGTTTGAATATCCTCCGTCGTCAGCGGGTGAATAGAGAAAGCGCGGGAAATAGCTCCCAATTCTTCGTCGGTGGGGTTGACCACATCCAACCACCACACACCTCCCTCAGGTCCAAGCTCGAAAAGATCTCTGAAGGTTTCGCCAGGAAGCACCAAATCTCCCAAATCGGCAGCATGCACCGTGCTTTGAGCCTCAGACGAGAAGAACCCAAAGCGAGAGCGCTGGCTTGTATTCTGCGATGTTTTAACCTGCTCCTTTTCGTTTGTAACCTCGGCAGTTTTCTTTTCATCTTCACCCAGTGTATCACACGAGCTAGTCTTCTTGACTGCACCCATTTCAGGGCTTTCAGCGCCAGGGCGGAGGTCATAAAAAATGCGGGGCCTCTTGCCCTGCGAGCTCATGCTGTGCTTGCGACGAATGCCATCGCTAACTTTGGTGCTCGGATTCAGAGCCACAAACTCTTCGAGTTCCTCGTAATCAATGACGGGAATGCGGCCTGGCTCGTCGAAACAGGCCTCCTCTGCCGTGTCGAATGGTACATCCCCCAACTGAGGACGGATGGCACTGGCGTTGCTGAAAGTTGGACGCCGGTTGTGGGTGCCACCTGAGACGGTGCGTTGCAATATAGCTTCCAAGTCGGGAGGCGCATGGCTGTCCAGGGTATTGGCGCGTTCACGGCGACGTGGATCGGCAAAAGCTTCGACCGAATTGGGAGGAGAGGATGACCGAGCGGACACGGACGAGGTGCGGTCAGCGTTGGCGATATCCGGATTCACAATGCTGATGCGACGAGGGGTTTGGTAAGTGCCGTTAGGATCGACCGAGAACCGTCGAGCGAGTCCATTCAGCTCATTCAGCGAACGGTCATCCTCGATGGAATTTTCGAAATCTCGGAGAATTGGACCGTCTCTTCTGGCATCTTGTGCACTGAGAAGGTCTGGACGATCGAGAATTTCAGGACCTTGAGTGGTGTCGCGCGGGCTATAACCACGCTCGATTGGGGCTTCAATACGTGGAGGCGTCTGCATCTGGAGGCGGTGATCATCCAGTTCGGGTACCGGGGTACTGTACCTGGTCAGGTACGTGTACCTCTCGGATCTGGGAGACTCAGACATGGTGAGCTCTCAGTATATGAGGATTCAACGAAAAGCGATTATGGCGCCAGATTGGCGGATTTTTGGGTAGTGTTTGGTGTTATAGTTGCTCTTTGATAGCACGACGGCCGGAGCAGACGTAAGCCGGTAAGAGGTTCGTTCAAGGGTGACGGCCCTCCATCCATAAGCCAGACCCCTCGCGAGGGCCTGGCGTTTACCGACTAACGTCTGACGGCCACAATAAATATGTTTCTGAAACCCAGTTAGGGGGGTCTGGTATCGCCCCCGCCGAAGACCCGGAACTTAGGGCCTGCAAGAGGGTGGAGGAGAGAGGCCTCGATGTAGCGAAGTCCCGCCAACTTGAAGAAGTGGTCGGATGAGGAGCTTGGTGGCTCCAGGGTTGCTGTTAGACGATAAATGCGAAAGTCTTCGCGGAAAATAATCGAATTCTCTTCACAAGAGATCAAATATCAGAAAATTTTTGTCGAATTGTAAAATGTGGTGGGAATTGGGAAAAGTGGGAAGGGCGGGAAAGGTATAAAAATGAAGTGGCGAAGACCGAAGTCGATGATGGTTCCGGAAGCCGCCCAGAGAAGTCACCGGGTTTTGGAGAGAGAGATATTTAATATCAAGCACCTCAGGGGCTATTAAGAAAAGAAAAAAAAAACAGTGGGGGTAGACTAGAACTAATAAGTCGAGAGAGAGACAAAGCTTTGGTGAAAATTTTCACAAGCGGGTACTCTTCCCCCCCGTTTCAGCAGATAAAGGACTAGAATGGACTATAAAGATACGAAGTATATAAGACTATATATATATATACTTCCAAGGTTATATGTTGTAGCCTATGGGATTCTCCTTGAGGCATTTATTGTATCGAATATAGTTTCTTATATTTATCTATATGATCTCTCTACTTTTTTACTGTTTCAAGTGATTACTTGTATCTCGGCAGAATTATCCCCCTTTTTAATGTTTCGCCATTTATAGATCTTGAATATGTAAGATAGTACTTCATATATCAAGAAATATAATATACACAAAAGAAAATACAAAAAGAAATCCCAAAGTGCTCCACTTGCATTGCCGACGTCGGCCAATTTTTTTGTGCCAAGAGTCTCAGAGTCACATCCCAGACTCTATCTACATTTTACGGTTGGTCCCTATACACACTCATATAGTCTCTCTACCATGACTTCTTTCGTGCTCAAGATCCCTTGCTCCTCTGCCAACATTGGCCCTGGATTCGATGTGATCGGACTAGCATTGTCCCTTCACTTGGATCTCCACGTCACCATCGAGGCTAAACCCTCATCCCAGCTCCCCTTCAATTGCGCCATCACCTATGAAGACCAGAGCAAGAGTGTTGAGAAGATCAGTCTCGACCCAGAAGTCAATCTGATCACCCGTGTAGCCCTGTATGTCCTCAGATGTCACAACCAGCGGGCCTTCCCCGTTGAGACCAAGGTGCATATTGTCAACCCTATCCCATTAGGCCGGGGTCTTGGCTCCTCTGGTACCGCTGTCGTTGCTGGTGTCATGCTGGGCAATGAGGTGGGTAAGCTGGGTCTGAGCAAGGAACGGTTACTCGATTATTGTTTGATGATTGGTAGGTTGGAGTTGTTTTTATGTGCCCCTCATCTGAGTTTCCGGAAACAAAAAAAACAGTCTATTCGTATTTCGTACATCTTACTAACACGTGTGAATAGAGCGGCACCCCGATAACGTGGCCGCTTCTCTCTTCGGTGGGTTCGTGGGTACCTATCTGAATGAGCTTAAGCCTGAGGACGTGGCACGCAAAGAGATCCCCCTCAGTGAAGTCTTGCCTGCTCCGGCAGGTGGTGTTGACACTGGTATCAGACCCCCGGAGCCACCTATGGCCATTGGTCATTACAGAAAATTCAACTGGGCTCCGGAGATCAAGGCCATTGCCATTATCCCTGACTTTGTGGTCCCTACTGCCAATGCCCGTAATGTACTCCCAGAGACCTACTCAAGAGCGGATGTGGTACGTGATTATTCAAAGTTGATAACTATATGATTCCAGACTAACCTCCCGGCTAGGTCTTCAATCTCCAACGCGCGGCACTTCTGCCCGCGGCTTTGGGAAGTTCCCCACCGGATCCTGATATGATCTTCCTCGCTATGCAGGATAAGGTGCACCAGCCGTATCGCAAGACGTTGATCCCAGGATTGACTGAGATTCTCCAATTCATGACCCCTGCCACTCAACCCGGTCTGCTAGGAATCTGTCTCTCCGGTGCAGGACCTACCATCCTGGCGCTGGCCACGGATCGCTTCACCGAGATTGCTGACCGCATTATCGCACAGTTCGCTTCCAATGATATCTCATGCCAATGGAAGCTGCTGGAGCCTGCCCAGGATGGCGCAACTGTCACCTATAACTAAAAGCTGGGGCCTTTTCTGTCGTAACACGACCGCCTGCGAGTCAGCGGTTCGCTGTGCTTGACATACAAGCACGTGTCGGCGGCATTGGATCATTTGGACCCGAGGGCAATCCATATCTGGTTGGATATGGGAAGATTTCTTCCCTAATCAATGGGTCATGCAAGATCTCGTTTTCACCGCTCCTTGCTTTCTCGCGTTGCAAGGTGCATGTGGGCCTTCCGACACGGCAAGTTGGGCCCGGGTTACGTTTGGATTTGCAGGGGGTCGTGTACACTGGTACACGATTGTAGGCCGAGTTTCTTGAGGCCAGTTTCCCATCAGTGCTCCAACTCGGGTGATCTGTTTTTGGCTCTAGACATAGATGGCAGATGACATGGAATGAAATCATGATCAACCACGTAACGATTAAGTTCAATATCGTGTTAATTACTCAAGGAACAACCCAGCCAGGCACATTCGGAATCAAAAATTATGTACGAATGCCATGTACAATGTAGAGAGCAAGGCGGTCCGACGTGGCAGAAGGCAAATGACACCATTGCGATAAGCCGCCCGTCATCGATCAAGGGACCCTCGAACCCGGTCTACTAACCCCGAATCTGATTTAATTGCTTCAACCATGGACGAACTACTCACACCTATTCAGGATGCCCTTGAAGGCCAAATTGTACGCCCCGCCGCACCGTCTCCATTCATGATCATTGTTTCGCGCGTCTCGACTATCCAAGCTAACAAGCTCTCGATAACAGGACTTCCACGGCCAACGTCTAGCAGAACTACTGTCTACCATCCTGCTAGTTATCTCGGGGGTAGGTTGTACGAATATTGAGTCTTATATTACCAGAGCTAACGATTATTGTATCTGCTCTAGGTCGCTTGCTTCCTCATCGGATATGTCTACAAGGACATCCACCTCACATTATGGACTGGTTTGGCAGGCACACTGTTCACAGCTTTCATCGTTGTTCCGCCCTGGCCGATATACAACCGCAACCCGGAAAAGTGGCTGGGCTCACCAAGCGCAAGAGCAACTCCGGGTATAACTGTGGACGGGGTGAAGGTGCAATAAGCTATTGAGAAACTGTCAAGCGTAATAATCATTGGAAGCATTGGGCAGCGCTTTCTTGTCTGCTACGGAATATGAGAATGGGAGGCTATAGAGCTAGCTCGATAAATCGTTCGAACGCCCGCCAATCCTTAGGCCCGTTGTAAAGATCCAGAAGCATCTTTGAAGAAAAAAAAGTTCAAGTTATAGCCATTATAGCCATTGAGCATGTGGCATCAGCCAGAAATCGTGAATTTGTATCGTGTAGTGTCTTCGAAACCTCGGTGCCCCCTCTTTACCGGCCGTACTTCTGGAACTCCCAGTCCCGGTTGTCTAGCGGGCAGACCTGGCGGGTCTTCAGCCATCTCGATATACAGTGGAAGTGGAATGCGTGCTATAGAAAGAGAGTAATTAGCCGAAGGTCAACCTTGGAAATAGTCGGATGGGGTGGTGCGGGGGTCCTCACGTTGCAGATACCCCAGGCAACAGTGCACTCCTCTGTTGTTGATGATCCTTGGTTGGCCTGGCATTCGATGCCTATTTTGTTGATAGGTCAGCTTGTAAACTTAAGATCAACAGAACTTAGGAGGGTAATTTCAGCGTACACAAGTCCATGATGTGGTTTCGGCAAATGGCACAGTTGTCGACGACGATATCCCAAGCCCATAGGGCAACAGCATTCCACTTAACAATAACCAGTCAGTAGCATGATCGCTGGGAACAATGGATCCTTGTGTACCTTCTTGACCTCGAACTTCTTCTTTTCAGCATTATCGGAGCCCTTGGCTACAGCCTTGCCCTTGGAGGAGCCAGTAGCGGCTTCCTTCATCTCCACGTCTGTCATATTGAGGTTCTTTGTCGGAATTTGAATGGTTTTGGTTTGAAATTCTTGGCGCGAGACAACAGAAGCTAGCTGGGGTGGGGGGTATCAGAACTGTGACTGACGTAAGTGCTCCGATGGGGCGGTGATTGAGGGCGGTGATTGTAGTGTAGAGAGTGTCGAGATAGAACGAATACCTTTTTGGTGGAGTTAAAACAAGAGATATCTCCAAAGGTACTCAATGCACAAATGCGACAATGCGACCCTGTCCAGCAGTTGATAGTTCTGTTTGACTTAGTTTGTTCTTGATATCGTGAAGCAGGTGGCGTCTTAGTCATCGAGATGTGATCTCCCCTCTCCGTTTGTCTGCATTCGATGGTCTTTCCCTTCAGCCAACAAACAATGATTCAGTCTTCCTTTTCTTCTCTTCTTTTTTCCTCTTTAGAGATGTCTCCAGTTGATTTTCGTTTTTGACTTCTGTCTCACTCTCCGTTTCATAGACAAGATCTTTCATTAGACTGTCTATCTTTCCCTTTGAAGCACTCGCTTGACTCAACTTGCGACTCTTTCGGTTTCTCAGTTTGATACACGTCACGTTCTCTGCTTCCCCGGCGTTGCCATATCTAATATTGTCGACACCTGCTGAGCAGTGATCTGACTCATTTTGCTACAATCTCCGCATCTCTTGCCTTTTACTGCTTCCTCATAGCGTTGCCTTTTCTCTTTACCTCTCTCCACAGGCTGCCTATTTATTAAGCCAACCGTCGAAATGTCGACTCAATCTCCTCATCCTCCGACCCCCAAGGGATCGCGCAATAACCGTCGCCCTCAGAAGAAGAATATGACCCCTCACGCTCAGAAACCGGCGCTCCTCTCTACTCCTCCGTCATCCCCGCCGCATAACATGGGCCCCGGAGTCATTCAGATGGATTCCTCAAACTTCAACTCTTCAAAGAAGAAGCCTGTGCGCTCAGCGAAGAAACCACGAGACAACAAAGCTTCTCCTGCCCCGCATTCTGGATACCACAGTAACGGGTACAACAGTGGTCCGCGACACACATCAACTCACCCCTCTGTCACCTCTCCTCAGACAAAGCCGAGCGCAGCCTACGCGGGACCGACATTCCACGCATCGCCCGCACCGTCAGCTTTGCCAATCCCTAGCTTTTTCTCCAAGTCAGCCCCTGATGCCAATCTTGTCCCACCCATCGAGACCGATAGTGATGATGCGGAGGTGGACCCCGAACTAGAGATGACACCGTCCAAACCTCGCAACCGCAACAACCAACCCAAGGCCGAAGAGCACCAGCCTTCTCCTCTCGACTTCCTCTTTAAGGCTGCTGTGCAAGCCAGAGACCAGAAGTCCACGAGCAGCCCGGAGGTGCACAAGGTCCTTCAGTCTCCCCAGACCGAACCCAGGGCCTCGCGCACCAACCCTGATGGCATGTTTGCATTTGAAATGGGAAACTCTGACTATTCTCGGAATTCACGCATTGGACCTTCCTTCGCTCCTTCTTACCAGGATCGTATGAATGCGCTGCGGCCCACGAGTACCCCTCAGTCTTCTGACATGACCGAGGAGGAACGACGCATTAAGACCGAGGAGTTGAAGCACCTGTTGCTCAACCCACCCCCACAGAAGCCACCTTCCTCAGCTTATGCCACTCATGAATATGCTGGACCCTTTGGGCCGCGTCCTTCCAATGTGCCTCCCTATGCTACTCCTGTGCGAACCTCGTCTGGTCCTCAGTTGACCTCATCGCATGGTTCCTTTTCTCCCCACCAGCTGCAACAGCAGCATATTCCTCAGAATAATGGGCCTCCTCGCTACCCATACCCTGCCCACTCTCACTCACCCCTGCGCCGTCAGGTTGAAATCGTCCCACCTCCCTCGATGCCCCAGTATCGTGGCCCCCCTTCGAATGGCGCCTCGAACCGAGCCTCCCCGGCGCCATATGGCAATCCCTACATGACAACCTCTCAGTATCAGCAACCCGGCTACGCTTCCCCCCAGCCAAACCATGCGTCGGCTGCATTCCAAATGCCGGTGAACTCACCATCTCCTTCCCGGGTTGTGGACACCCGGCAAATCGAAAATGATATTCGCCGGGTTCTCAAGCTGGATGCGTCGGGGCCTCCGGTCCCCCAGAGCTCGTAGCTCCATTCTCATTTTGTCAGATTACGATCTTCATGATCATGTCTCTCCTCTCCCTTGGTTGGATGGCCTGTCTTTTGTTTCTTTTGTTTCTTTTCTATTTTTCTTATTTTTTTTTTTTCTATTTTTCCTATCTTTCTTACTTTTATGTTTCTTTCTTATTGAATTGAGTTTGATCTTACTTTGCTTTTTCTTGCATTCTGTTCACAAGGGCATCCTCGACTGGTCTGAGGTCCCTCGGTTGGTTCATTCTAGTCTTCCTTCCCCGCTATGGGGTGCTCATTGTTTCTTTCCATACGTCTCTTGCGGCAATGTTCACCATGATGATAATGCACGGCACTGGTTGCTTGGTACATTGATGAGGTGGTAATTTTATCGTCACCTTTCCTCCATCGTTCGGCGTCGTGGTTTTTCCCAAATGTGGTGGCGCGCCTGGTTTTGGCTTGGGGCATGGAGAAATGCGAACAAATGCATGATTTTGCTGTTTTCTTTTTGATGTTGTTTCTCATAGGATGCTTTGGGTCTTTCCTTTTCAGCTTTCCTTTGTTTTTTTGTTTGGTCGAAGTAGCGGTCAATCTCTGTCAACCTTCCAAGATTGACCTGGGGTTGATCCGGCACTTTGTACTCTAGTTTATCCTCCTCGCTCGTTAATGAGGATTGAACATGTCTACGTATCTGACTTGTCCACGTCGGCGTGCTTTTGTGCCCGTCGCTCGATTAATAATCATCACTTGTCAGATTTTGGTTTCGATTGAGTGCAAACAGTAGTCGTATACAGTAGCCTAGTAGATTGGACGCTAAGCTATGAGATATCTCAGCCCTGGGTTATGTATGCATAACACAATTCCCTGACTCTAGATAAGGCTCTTCGGTAGGACTTAAGGGGATACTTGCATAGGATACATGTGGAATTGGGAAATATAGAGGAAGAGTGCACTATGATTGTAGGAACCAATAGCTACATACTTATTGGAAAAGCCCGATGGTATCAAGAGACAAATAATAGATGAATATAAATCGATATGTCAAGGATAGAATATCTGATCTTCGGGTTTCTTCCGCCTGAAGCTTTTCTAAAACACAATTCCTTTGGTATGATTGATTCTATATAAACAAGAGTATCATTGTAATAAGATATGTGCAACGTAGCAAGGACTGCCTGCTACCCGATGCTGAATTCATAAACCATGTAATTCCACCCCCACGCCAAAAAAAACAGGACTCCATTTAACTCCTAACATGCCAAAGAATAGTCTAAGCCTCTGTCATAGAGGCCAACTCCGTATCATCTGAACGAGGTCTCTTCGAAGAGCGTTGTCGCTCCGACCCAGAAAGCACCTTCGACGGATGGAAGATGCTCATCGCAATCATAGCGAGGAACATAAGCGTCGAATCAAAGACATACATGAAAACCTCATGGCTAATGAGATATCCATCATTGCCTTGAGCATATTCGATCAAGCGGAAAATCGATCGAATGAGAATCAGAATGCTGGCCACGTATAGTCCGGTCATGACGAATTCCCAAGACATTCTGCGCGATCGGCTGACGGACTTCTCGGTAGGGGATTTGCGAATACGGTAGTGGAAGATTGAAGAGGCGACGATGAACACTGTGAAAAACACTAGTTGTACGGCAAGACCGCCAATCGTGATATGTTCGCCGGTGGTCATTGCGCTGAGTGTTCCGCTTGCCATGATGCCGCCGCCTTGATTTGATGTTAGTTTCAAATTGGATAGTATTTAGAAGGAAGGATCATTTACCTGCTGCTTGCATCAAGAATGCAATTACATCGCCTGTGACGAAGATCGCTGTAAGCCATTTGACTGGAACCAAGCTCAAGCTCTCAGCGTCCAGGTGCATAATCAGTCGGCCCAGAGTCATGTAGATCGATGCGGCGTAGAGTGGGGGAGCAAGAAGAATCATGATTGTTCCAACTGAATAGATTGGGATGTTTTCCTTGTTGTCATGGGCGAGTGCGCGGCAAATGTAACCTATGATTTGGACTACAATGCTTGTTAGATATGCTTTGGCTTTTGCGTAGATTAAAGATAGTCGGAAAAGGATGATGTTAGGCTGATATTACTCACAGGCTCCTCCAACAACAAAGATGGTAAAGTACCAAGCTCGAGTGCGAATGACTTGGTACAGATGGTACAAACTTGCCAGGACGAACAGAACAATGAAGATGATTGCAGCGACGAGAGAGGGAGTATAGCGGTAGAGCTTAAAGTCCACTCCTGCATTTTCGGTGTCACTCATATTGGATAGACCTTGTTGAATCAAGAAACTTCAAAGAGATCTATGGTTCACTGGAACCTCGAGGCGTAACAAAGATAGAGAAAATTGTTCAAGGTAGTAGTGACAGAAGTTGAAAATGAGAGAAAATCAATGTAGTGAGAGAGAATCAATGAGAGAAAAGAGTATTTAAAAGATGAAATCTCCCTACGATTTAGGGAGGCGCAATTTACAATGTAGATAATTTTTAGTACTGGAGTAGAGAGACCCACCCGTATTCGCTTTTTTTTGCATTTGCCGCTTGGATCCCCTTCGGTTGCAGAGGCCACGCCGTTCCAAGGTTGTCTATTATAAAAGAAAATCAAACTAAATTTGAGGCTGCCTATTGCTCAGCCTTCGGGAGACTCCCGATGTCCTGACCTAAATCCATTGGATTTTCTTTTTATGAACTTCTAGAATCCAAACGTTAATTTTTTCTTGGCGATCTACGTTCCAGTCAAAGGATTCAAAAGGTTATTAAAGGTCGTATACATAGGAATTTGGCCTTTTTTCGCCTTTTTTTCTTTGCCATAGACCTATCTAAACAGAATGATATCCATGGATTGTATCAGTAAATTTTATAATTTTGCCGAAAATCATTCCGACCTCGAACAATTCTCATCGAGAGTCAGGCACCAACCTTGGGCTCATTTACTTCTGAATTACGGAGTAATCTAAGTTAAGTTGAACGGATGGATTTGTGTCATGTGATATACATGTATGTTCTACACGTGCACAAATATGCATCGTTGGCGATCAAGTTCTTCCTTTCCTATACACGCGGCCCTATGATGTAGAGGTCAATGGCAAGTTCATGACCTCTTTGGGCCAAAGCATAAATGTTGACAGTTGACTGCTATCCAAGGATTCAATCAGCGTGTTGACTCGGAGTATCTCGAGTTCGAAAGCTCCCCTCATATACCAGGTATCGACCAGAGTATTCATCAAATAAAAATGAGCGAGGATAACAAGCGAGTATCCATGGAGGCTGTTAGAGTCGCTCCGCTCAAGCGAAGCTAAGAAAGCACTTGGGAGTGAACATGGCCAGGACAAAATTGCTGCCTCTTCAAAATCCACCTGGATCTCCTTGCTGGTGTCAATCTCGGTTACCGCGCACCGCAGTACAGATAGAATGCGCAAGTAAAAAGATTCTAGGATGCGTATTGTCTCAAGGTGCGCATCCATGGCCCACTCTAAAGTCCCGGACGGTGAGGGTTGAGATGTTGGTGTGCCCGAACAGCTGGATAGGTCATCCCGAGTGGGTTCAGCCATATTCAACGAATCCTTGATGGAGGTAATTGCTTGATGAGCACCTTCTGCAAACCTCAATATGCGGGGTGGACAGCGAGAAAGTCGAGACGGTGCATGGGATGATGAATCCGCCCAAGACTGATCGTCGGATCGTAGTGCCAAGATCTGCCGAATCCGGCTGCTTTTCAAAACCCACCATTGATCACTTATCACAGAGGTTACACCCCGGTTGAGGTACAGCCAGTTGAGGCGTGGGATACTATTTGTGGAAGGAATATCTGCCATGGCGCCGCTCATCTCTTCGGTAGGTCTAGTGAGCGGGTTGAGGTCCTGAATCTTGAGGAATGCGAATGCAAATGCAACCACAAGTAATGATCCCGTGAAAACAGCTTCGGCATTCGAGGGAGAAAGGCGGGAGACCTCTTCTCTAAAGCCTTCCAACCCTCTTTGATGATGTTCCATGATGATCGCCAAGTCCACCGTATCTGAGTCTCCGAACCTCACAGTGCCACTAGCATCGACTTTTTGTTTGACCATATGTATACCCCCTAATGCTAGGAGCAGATGCATCAGATATCGATTTTCGCTTGCTAATTCGGGGATAACCCGCTGCCAAACGTTGGATCGCCCCTGATGCGACGTCATTTGTCTTCCGGTGTATAGATGATAGAACTGAACGAGTCTCAAATCATTCATCTCTAAGTCTCTATGTCGGTGTTGGGGGGATTGGTCCGAGACGGTCGCAGATGCTGTCGCATTTATTGCTAATGGTCGGATGTTACCCAGTACTGGACCGTTAATAGACGGATCAAAAGACTCTGCTACGAGTGATCTATCATCTTTCTCTGAATCCGCCCTTGATCTAGGAGGTTTCCTCTGAGGAACGCGTGGGGGAGGGTAGGAGCATGGTTCGCCTCTGGAAGAACATGTGCCACAAGCAGGCTGAAGCTCGTCGCACTTGAGTGAGTTTAGCATTTAGTCATTAAACAGAACCCAACAGAACTAGGACTTTGGAGGCATACCTTGACCCTTCGAAATTTGCAAGGGTAGCAACCATTGCGGGACTTGGTGTGGCGTGCGCGATGCCTTCTTACAACCCGCTGAGTGTATGCTGTGTCGGAATCTGCCAAATCTACCATGTCTTCGTCCATTTTCTGGATACGAGAATTTCCTGATGGTGAGCGAGAATATTCACCATGATCGACGACATTTGCGCAAACCTTGTTGCAGCCTAGTTATCGTGAGTAGTTGGGAAGTAAAATCGACCGTTTTTGTTGGGCGGTCTACAGTAACCAAAGACGCAGACTGCAAATAAGGTTATCGACTTTTGGCCATAAAACCAACTCCATACTCTTTACTCTTTTATAAAGGGACCTCCAAAGTATTGAGTCATAAATATCCTCAGCCTGGCATCTCTAAAAGATTTAGCGCCATGCTCCCTTATAGTCTGTATCTTCTTCTCTATATTCATGGCTAAACTCATTCTCCCGGATCTTGGCATTTGCTTCACACTCCTAAACCTCAACACGCACCCACTTCATCCATCAGCCAACCAAACACTAGCGTCTTCTTTCTCCCTCATCTCCTTTCTTGAGACAACCAACACCTCAATCCGATCCTCCTTACTTAGCCATAACATCGCATAAGATTACAGAATCCGTCTTCCTCGTCGGTATTAGGTGAGCGCTGCGATACATGAGAGCATAACACATTACTCGACCTCAGCACATAAGCTGTGCCATGCAATGAGATTGTTGATCAAGTGATTTCTATATAAAACTACCGTACTATAAATAAATGTATTAGGTTCCAACTTTTAAACCCATCTAATTATGCTTAAACACACCAAATTAACGCTTAAAGTATAACCTTGGTATGCATGTAACTTCGGGGAAATATCCTCAAGGGGCTCTAAAGAGAATCTTGGAAAAGACCCACTGTGGGTCCAAGATACAGTTTGAGTTCAGAAAATCCTACGGACCCACCCGTATTCTTATTCCGAATACGAACATTTATACCTTCAACCTACAACATACTAAGTCATACTCGAACTTCTCTTTTGGTGGAATGTAGCTTACAGCTTGGCTCTACATAGACTTTGTACTTAGATATCTTCGAATCAAAAGCATACCGCCGATATATTATATATTACTCCACAAATCCTTTCAGTAACAGCGTTTGTAGCATCCCATTTCAATTTGAGGCTGAGTGCATAATTTAAACACCTTCTAGAACGATGATATTCCACTATAGTCTGCAATGGCTGGAATGAGCTTTTGTATTCTTGTGTAGCAAAGAATGTAAAAAGAAGAAGTTCGAAGGAAGTAATAGAAATACAAAAAAGATAGGCTCATCTACCCTTTGGAGCCGAAAGAAAAAGAGAAAGAAAAAGAAAAAGGAAAAAGCAATGCATATATGATTAGATTTGCGAAATCATGCGCCAGGGTAAGCACCGTACGGTTTGACAATCCGCTCTTCCGGGTTGCCGGTCAATTCATAATCTGAAATACCGCTCAAGAGTCGAGTAATTTCATAGGGATGAACAACATTGAAAACAACCATCGCAATAAAAATGAGCAGCGAGTCGAATACATATAAGTAGACCTCGTGATGCAAGAGATAACCGTGGTTACCCTGTATGTATTCCGCCAGTCGAAAGACCGACCGAACAAGAATCAAAAGGCTGGTTGCGTAGAGAATGTTGAGATGTTTGCGCCATGGAATTTCCCCAGAAGCGGACCGTGGGATTGGATACTTGCGGAGTTTCAGATCAAAGAGAACAGCAACAACAACGAAGAAGCCGAAGAATATTATTTGGACGAAAAGGCCAACAATGATAATGCGCTCTCCGGTCTTCAGGCCGTCAAGGCTTCCGCTACTCTGAATGCCACCGCCTGGATTAAAGTTAGAAAGATGTTCGTATAAAAGCTGCTTGGGATATTTCAACAATACTTACCAGCACCCTGTAGTATAAACGATAGCACATCGCCAGTAACAAAAACCTTAGTAAGCCACTTCTTTTTCAGAATCGCATGCGACTCTGCCTGCAGTACCAGGATAATTCGCCCGAGTAGCATATAGATTGATGCTGCTAAGAGTGCCGGCGCGAGGAGTAAACAGAGTGTCTGCACAATGTATGGGCCCAGTGTCCAATCCGGGCTCTGCTTGCTTGACGCAGCACGCCCGATATATCCAACAATCTCAACTGATTTTGTTAGCTGATATACCGAAACATAAGAATTGGTGACTCATACAGAGACCTCCTATCACGAATGGAATGAAGAACCATGTCCGAGTTTTGAATAACTGGAAGATGTGGTAGAAGGTGGTACCAATAAAAAGGATGGTGAAAAGGACCGCACCGCCCATGCTGGGGTTGTAACGGTAGAATGCAAAAATTGGTTCATCGTCAGAGCGGATTGAAGGCATTCCAGTGTGCATTTTGACTTTGTCGTACTACGAACGACAAGTTTGGAAAGGATCTAGTCTTTCAGTATGGTTGAGTATGGGTTTTGTATTTCGTCCATCTCGAACTTCTTGGACAGTTCTTATAGCTGTCTCAAGAAAGATTTCACTAACAAAATAAGACACATATAAAAATAGGTTGGCTTCGAGCGGTCCCCTTTTCGTTGATTTTCGTGTTTTGGTAGAGCTCGGAAACGAGTACGGGTGGGTCAGCAGCAAAGCCTACAAGAAGAATTATTTTTACAGGTGCCTGATTCGTGAATTTAAGGAGCCTAATGGGCAGATTATGGCATTATTTATCATTAGAGAAACAAAAAAAATGTGGGGAGATCTTTTGGAAGAAGAAAAGGAGCAAGCCTAAAATTGATAGTAAAATGAGCTAACAGACAAAATCTCGATTTCGTAGCCTGCAAGTGCTACAACAGGGGGTCATTAGTCCTTTCACATCCAAAATTTCATATTAGGTAGCTAATTAACACGGGGAACAGTCAGGAATACCAGACAGGAGTATGCATTTTGGATATCTTAACTACTATGTAAAATATTAACTACATAGTAATCATAAGCCTTAAGGATCAATCAATACTCGACGAAAATATAAGTCTTACACGATACCTTAAATTGAGAAGAGAAATAGAAGTCAAGAGGGCCACCCGGTTTTGAAGATTTCGGATTTTTGAAGAGAAATTCTCACTCTAATGCTGATAGTCAGTGTTAGCTACTAAATATGGAGTTTTCTTACAATAGGTCAGCTATACTTCCGACTTTATAGTTATTCGGTGCACACCCAAAGGCAGAAAACCAAGTATGTCTGCTATTTAGTATCGATACCTGCCCATATGACTAAGTATGTATTCAGTGATTGGCCTTGATGTGGTTGAGTATTTGTTGGATAGCAATGCGATCATCCTTTAGGTGCAAGGGATTGGCTGTCGAGGGGACTCTGCGATCAGGAATGTCATTAACCCTGTTAGTTCTGTCGTTGTACTGATATACACGCATATACATGCCCACCGCAACTATTCCATACACCGGCGTTGGGTTGACATGCCGAGTGCGGTGGGTTGCAGAAAGAGATTGATCGAGTTGTTGCACACCTTCGTCCCAGGTTGAGCCTCTCGATTCCAGACCAGTCCTTTTGCATTGCACAAGAAGAAATTTGTTGGCTCGAGTTTGTGTAGGCAGATATTGGTACGTATGCAAATCTGAAAACCCTCTCTGCCCTGATTGGTTGGTGTGACGGTCTTGGGGGCGTGTCACATAGCCCTGTTCGACGGGGAATTGCCATGTTAGGATGGAGTTCCAGACGCCGTACAGGATACTCTCGGGTCCAGCTCGAGGAACGCGGCTGATCTCTTGCTGAATAGCGGGAATATCGAAATAATTCTGATAATTCTGATAATTCTGATAATTCTGATAATTCTGATAATTCTGATAATTCTGATAATTCTGATAATTCTGATAATTCTGATAATTCTGATAATTCTGATAATTCTGATAATTCTGATAATTCTGATAATTCTGATAATTCTGATAATTCTGATAATTCTGATAATTCTGATAATTCTGATAATTCTGATAATTCTGATAATTCTGATAATATTGATATTAGCGACCCAAAATCTGGTAAATGCCCAGGTGGAATCTTTGATTTACCAAAGCCATGTTGAAAACGTCTGAGGAGAAGAAGTATTGAAACTTGACCCTGCAGTTATCTTATATACCTATCGACATATTATTCACTCTTACTTTTACCATTGAACACCATTCAAACTATGCCTAGGCATATTGCTCACTGCTCCATCAACAAGTATGTTAATACAATGGGCTGATGAATGAATACATAATAGGCAAAAATAAAGGTACAATGACCCGGTAAATAAGTACACAATATGCCAGTAAATGAATACAATATACCGGATTCATGTTCTAATTAATTGATTCAGAGTGAAGCAGAGCAGTATTATGCGCCTGAACTCTAAGACCCCGATTGGACTAAGCCCTGAACAAGCCACGCCATTGAGACGAACCATCTGCCAACGTTCAACCATGAGACAATGATAAATGATACGACGCCGAGGCGACAAATCTGGAACCGGCTTCTTTGGGATTGGTTGCTCTTAGGTAGGTTGCTTGGGACAAATACTTAAGGGCCGTGTATTAATGTTCTTGGGCATAGCTTGGAATAGCATATTACTATTATTTAATATTTATATTTATATCAGGAGTCTGTCTATGAAACCTTTGGAATAATGTGTTTATGATCTCATAATACGGTGGCTTTTATTTTATACCAACCTCTGGGATTCGAATCTTTAAGTGGGTGATAATTAGTTAGCTGCATATCGTGCCTTGAACTTCAGGCTGATCTCTGAAATGATCAAAAGATGGGTCTTAGGGTTATAATTCTATTTAGCTTAGAGTTCCAAATCCGATAGTGCTCATTACTTCGTCATCCTACTCACTCTTGTCTTTTATTTCCTCCAGGGCTGTCTATTATTTTACCCCAATATTTTATCCGAAATGCCGACCGAACTCTCAAAATCTCATGAGCCTCTTAATACTTCAGAAACATGCCTGCTTTGTGGTATACACATTTTGACGTTTGACGGGGGAACAATGAGTCGTGATCACCTGGATGTGCTCAAGGAGTCTCAATGGGAAAACCATCGCAAATCCCCGATTCCGGAGCATATTCTCGTGCCATCTACCGAAGTGGAGAATAAAAGTTTCTCCAAATTCCCTTGGTTATCATCTTGCTATCAGCGAGGGGGTAAGTTAACATTCTTATACATTTGAATTTGAAGCTAATAGTAAATTCAAGCTGTCAGATATGCTTTTTCCTCCAAATATGTACTCACGGGAATTGGCCCAGTTCAACGCCTCGGTGATCAGCCGTACCAGCTTCCAAGAGACAAAAACATCGCACGAATTTCTGGACGAGAGGCGATACCGCAGTATGATGATACAACATTCACACATTTCCATCCAGGATGTTACTGGATGCATCCAAGGCTTTATGAACACAAAAATATGGGATATGTGTTCCACTATTATTGTTGGGAGATCCTTGGCCATCTGGCAGGGAAAGAGTTGATTGAGAAGGCACTTGATCAAGTTATTGAGGCCGCAAATCAGTATTGGCGAACCCATAAAGGATGGGGTAATACTGACACAGATACCATATTTCGTGCCCAGCTCGACGAGGTTTCATACGTGAGATGTGAGAGCTACGTTCGCGGCTGTGATATCTTTGTCAATCCATGGATTATACCCGAGCTTCAAGATATAATCCAGCTTGCCGAAAAAATGGTTGGAAAACGCAAAAGCTCCTATCTCAATAGACTTCCACTCGAAATCTCCCTTCTAGTGGCGGAAATCATTTGCCCTATTATCTACACTCAATCCGATGTGCAGGATTTGCGTAACATGTTATCCGTATTTGCGTTGGATTTACCAGATGCCTTTTGGAGAAGCCGATTACAATCCAAACGTGATTTGTTCTTCGAGGTGGATTTGCTAGAGACTGATTCAGTGGACTGGCAGCTCTTGTGGCTAGGGTTGATGGACCTTCTTTCCGATAAATGGTATAACTCAAGTGGATTGGCACATCGCGAGCAATTAGTTGGACACATTCGGAAGATCATCGCAGATTTGCAATAAATTCAACAGAGACATTTTGCTGGGGGATAATACCAATACTTAATATCTTAGGGCTGATTGGAAAATGAGAAATTGATGCCTCAGGTGTCAGGCTAGTCAAATGCTATACTAGTTCCTTGCAAATAGTCTTGTCTTTCTTCAATGGGATATTTCATACCTGCTGCATACAGTAGAACCCTAGGCCTACATCCTCGGATTCCACAATCTAGGTGTACATATGGAGCTGAAGGAATAACCAAGTACTATGCGCCTAAGCGCCAAGACCCCGATTTCATCAAGCCCTGAGCAAGCCACAGCGTTGAGACGAATCAAAATTGGCAGTTTTGATAATTTCAGTGTGGAGTCTAGCCTATGAGAGCCTGCTGATCCTAATATCCCCAAGGGTTTTATTTCCGTGGTAGGGTCATAATGTAAAGAGGTTCTCAACAAGGATCTACGACATGGAATAGTTTGGTTCGCAGCTTAATATGTTAATTCACCTTCGGAGTATATTATCCGAAGTCCGCGTATTGGCTTCTATTTTTGTTAAAACGTGGACTTCCCCCCTTATTATCAACCCTAGCAATTCCTATTCGCCCGCCACCGGCGTTTCCGAAAGATCCACTTAGATTCGGCCTAATTTTATATCGCGCCCTTGGCCGTTTTGGGGAAGAGAGAAGGCAATCTCCTATTCTAGTTTCATATACGGAGTACGGAGGATATATTTCCTTTACCTAGGGAGTACTCCTATTCACATATTAGGCGGGAGTTGGGGTCTTCCATTTCATCTCGTAATTTGTACTGTTTTGGTGTGGAACAATGGCATTCAGATAGTGTCCACGTGTAATTATAAACCCTAGAAGAAATGATTGACTGAATGCAGTAGAATAAAACACATACAAGATAATTGATTTGCATTCAAAACTATGGTCGACATCATATCAAAAGATCTACATACCACCCACGTCAAGGCTTCGCTGGATGCGGCCAGGGGTCGATTCAATAGAGTCATATCATAACAATTGAAGCAAATAACCCAGTTTTTAGAAGAAAGAAGTTTTAAATTATATGATTTACAAGCAAATTCTTGTGTTTCCAAAAAAAAAATAAAAAAAATAAAGATAAACCATATCTCTCCCCCCCTCCACCTTTTCTCCTTCCTTACCTAATTCTGGATTCTGGGACTTTCAAGGTTGCCCCTACCACATCTTCACGTCTTTACATCTCCAACTTCTTTCCTCTTTCTCCCCCTGGATTTTGAATTCTCTCGCTATTATCTATCCCCGCATCGGGACACGTTTTCCCTCTCCAATGACCGATTTCACGATCTGAATCCCGGTTTTAACCCCTGCGCCCGTTTTTTCTTCTACTGTGACACCATGGCGAATATGTTGGTTTATCTCTAGACTAGATAAGATCCTCCGCTGACGTGATGCAGGTTGAGTTCGACATGGCGTTCCTTTTGGCATACCATGACCTCCTACGACCGTCATGCCTCCCACGACTCCCCCTACCGTACCGGGAGACATGTCCCTCTCAACCAAAGTCGCCATGAGCCACTCACATCTATCGCAACTAGCGCAATCGAATCTCGCCCAGACCTCTCCAACCCCTACGATGATGAGCCCACGAAATCTGCAAGTGCACAAGCATCTGAGTGGAACGGCTCCCCCGATGAGTTGGGCTCTCCCACCCATCCCTATTCACCAGGGATGAGGTCAGCCGCATCCCAAAAGAGACGATCAAACGACCAAGCCGAGGGCACACCAGAGATTCAGATGCAAAGTTTCCACGATGGGGCGCCACCGCCGCCGCCGGTCGCTCACTCCTGGAGGAAGATTGAACGCTGGTTAGAACACAATTATGAGGAACTGCTTGATCAGCTTGGTGAAGGATGTACCCAGAACGATATTAACGAATTGGAGCACGAACTGGACTGCAGTCTGCCATTAGAGGTACGGGAATCGTTGATGGTCCATGATGGTCAAGAACGTGGCGGTCGTCCCACCGGTGTCGTCTTCAGTGCCATGCTACTAGACTGCGAGGAGATCGTTCAGGAATGGCGGAACTGGAAAACGGTCAACGACGAATACCTCAGCAACGCTACCATGATGCAAAACCCACCCTCATCCAGCTCTGCAGCAAGCTCCTCCGCGGCTGGTCCGTCTCAGCAAGCCTCATCCACAATGTGGCAATCAGAGCTGCTCGATCGTCAGGACTCCCAGCCTCCCGGTGCAGTTCAAAAAGCGTACGCACACCCCGCTTGGATCCCCCTCGTCCGTGATTGGGGCGGCAATAACCTTGCTATCGATCTGGCACCCGGCCCCGCTGGAAAATGGGGCCAGGTGATTATTTTCGGCCGGGATTATGACTGCAAATACGTCGTTGCCCGCTCGTGGGCTGCGTTCCTCGCGACTCTCGCCGACGATATGTGCAGCGGTCACGTCATTGTGGACGAGGAGACTGAGGAGCTGAAACTGAAGCAATTCAAGACCCAAAATGTGGAGCCCCCATACCTGGATATTCTGCGCTGGAGGACGGATCAGAAGTACGGCCGCCGTGTACCTCGCCGGAAGGGCCCCGTACCCAATGGTCTGGGTGTAAACGCTTCAGGCAACCGGTCCAGCAGTCGCGAGTCCCCCTACGGAAGCCCCACACGCACCGAAGAACGGGGCCGTTCGCCACACCGTTTCTCCAAGAGTGGAAATGCCCAGAGTCCCAAGACGCCATTCGGCGTATCTAGTCCTCTTGCACGCGTGACTGAGGAGACAACAAGTCCCATTGTCACCACAGGGCCCACAATCTCCGAAACCACCAACGAAAATGGCAAGGAAAACGGCAAGGAGCCTCAAACTGAAGATCTCATGGAGGTTGTAACCCCACAAATCTCCAACAAGGAGAATGAAGGGATCCCCAAGCCCAATGAACTTAAGGAATCCGACAAGGCTGGAAAGGCCGAGAAAACCAACTCCGCAGAGTCTTCAACTGCCATTGAGTCGGAGGTCCTCGGCGAAATGAAGAACGTGGCTATTTAGAATAAGCCTTGCTTTATGAGTCCGGACATGTCCCGTTCTCTCTCGAGTCTCAGTTTTTGAAGTGCATCTGGCGTCAATGCGGAACTTATGGATGTGCGACAACGTTCTGCTTCTGCTTCTACTTCTGCTTCCATGTATAGAATTCCCCCCTGTTCTTCTCCTAGCCTCAGTTTCAGGGCATTTGTTGTAACTCTAGGGTGCTGTTTTGCTCTCCTTGTGCTTTTTGTTTTCTTTCGTTTTGGTTTTCCTTTGCCGTTGAGATGGCTCTGTGTTTACGGTCTTTGATATTTTTTGCCTGTAATTCTATGATGACAGTCGTGCCTTTTTCTTTCGTGTCTGGCTACAATCCCATTTACTTTGATTCTTCGCTTTTCAACTTCAATTTGCCCAAGACTTCCAGAGGTATACACATAGTCTACTTCAGAGCTTGTATTAAGCCCCAGAATATGGATATATGGCATGGGTATGCTACTAAACATCCAACTATGAACATCACTATAGGTCATCAATCATACAGAAATCATGAATCAACATCCCAATACCCCGGGTATATATACATAACCTTCAACCGGACTATTACTCCCAATCGTCATCATCATCGTCACCCCGGTTTCTCACATTGGGATTAGCATCGCGAATCCCACGTCTCCCCTTCTTCCTCCCAAATCCTCTCCCACCACCCTCATCACTATCCTCCTCCTCCCTCAGATCATCATCCTCATCACCAGCCCCAATCTTCACCGCCAAAAGGATCCCCTTGAAAACCAACCTCTTCTCCAAAACCCTCACATCAAACCCTTCAACCCCATCAAAGCCCCTAGCATCAAGCCCCTCAAACCCAACAATTCGATCCAGCCCAACCCCATCCTTAAACCCAATAACACAAGGCAAAACCTTAATCCCAAGTTTCTGCGCAATAAACGGCGTGTTACGCACATCCACCCGCGCAAATGAAATCTCGTAGTGCACATTCGCCAACTCTCCAAGTTTCATATCCATGACCGCGCACCGCGCAAAATCAGGATGCGCAAAATGAACCAGACATCTGCTCGTGCGCGTCGTGAAATCCAGCACGGACTGGTCGGACGAGAGTGTTGGGTAGACTTCGTTTTGGATGAGGCCTGTGTTGCCGCTTGTTGCGCGTGCGGAGTGGTTGTTTTTTGTGGCTGCGAGTTCGGCGTTTAGTTGGTGAATGCGTTGGTCGCGGTAGAGGGTGTCGTCTTCGTTTTCAAGAGCTGCGAAGAGGGCTTCGTCGTCTGAGTCGGGCATTTTGGGGATGTGCGGGGTGGTAAGTTGTTGTTTTGGGATTTTGGTTTTTTTCAGTTTAGGATGACTGTTCCGTTTGGGTTTGGTTTTGAATCCAATGTCCTAATATCATAGGAAAGGGTGGTTTGGAATTTTCGGGGTGTGTGGTTTAGGAGAGTTGGGGTCGGGAGCTCCACTGTATATGGACTTCTCAACTCCACTCTCTGAACTTCATTCCTCAGACCTGGTAATAAAATTCGAATTACCTCTTTGACGTTTTCTTTCCATCAGACATCAAAAAGGCCAAAAAGCACCCATCTTTCAAGTCATGTCCGGGCCATCGATTACATGTTCATCACAGTACCCCAGCAAGTCTTGATCGGGTAAGTTTTTAAAAAGAACCTGTTACTTTCTCTGTGAATATTTTGGGGCTTTCAGCACATGGGATAGATCCCTATACTTAAAGTGTCGTCAGTGGTTTTTTCCGCAGATTTAAAAAAACGAAGAACAGGTGCACATTACTATTCTATTGACAAGAAACAATAAGACAGATCCAGATTTGGCTCAAGCAACAACATTTCAACTGGACACGGGGTATCGTTTAATACAGACTTCTGGCCACCAAAGCTCTTCACTCTTATTGACAAGTGGGAGGGTTGACTGGGACACATGCCTATCATCAACATTTGGTGCCGCTCTCTCGACGCTGTCTGGAATGATCAGCATCGTTGGCACTGTGGGAGTGAATTTCAAGGCCTTAAAAATTGGTCTCGTCCCTGGAAATCCCATTCAGCAAAGATCTAGCTGTCTCGTCGATTCATCTCATAGAAAAGACGAGCAAAATATACTCAGGGTCTCCGGAACTGTCGAAGACTAGAGAAACAATGGACACGGCAGCTTGTGCAAGATTTCTCCATGACAAGTGCCAGTTTGCAGCCAAGATGACAATGTTGAAAAAAACTACGTGTTATTGTTATAAATCCGTTGAGGGCTTTGAGGTAGATCAGTCTAATCTTCACTCACAAAGAGCCGATATATTTTAAGGACTATTGCTTAAGTTCTATATTTTCGCTGGGAGAGAGTTGAATCTTTGACTCTGCGAACTTCAACTCAGCACATCTTATGTACACTCTCATCAAAGCCCATCTCTACCTAAGGCTTAGATCATGATTTGATCGAATGATAACCCTACATGGCTTCAGCTCCCCACTTTCCATTTTCTTTCTATTCTCTTGAATGGTTTCCTTATTCTCCTCGTTACTCTTCTTAACCCATGCTTGCTCCTCTTCTGTTAGAGGTTGCGGCAATAACGATGGATCTGGGTTCCGCCACTGCTCCTGAGGCACTTTCGTTCCATCTGCTCCGCGAAACATGTCTTCTGTTTCCTGGTCAAATTCAAAGCGATCGAGATAAGCTTTGATCAGTCGAGTTGGAAGGCCAATGGCATCTACTATGTCGCGGTTGGTTTCCACAGATCGGAGGACGCCATCGGTGCCCATGACAATGGTAGCAGTGCCGTCTAAACCACAGTATAGTTTGCCGATGATGTTGGATAATTCTTCTTGTTCAGGATGGTTGGGGCTGTCACCGTAGTAACTGTTGGCCATTATTGAGTTTGTATTTGGAGGATAGAATAGGGACTGTCAAGATATATTTTTGGAGATAGTCATGTAACTTATAGAGTAGATAGGCGCCTATATCTCCACAGTGTTTATGTACTTTGTACCTACGGCCCCGGGAACCGCCCGCATCAAAACCCAACCACCCCTCATCGAGTTTCGTGCCCAGAATATTATAATTGGCTTCAGCTGAAAACTCGCAACACCTAGACACTTCAAGAACCTCCCTTTCAGACTTTCCAGACTTACTAGCTTGTGGTTTCAGCAAATGATATAGGTATGGTACGGAAACCCCTGCTCGACTGCTCAGAAGGATCAATACTTAAATTCACAGACCCTACATAAGAACGAAGCTATGGACCAAAATGACGCTCCAGAAGCAGACTATACTATCGCTGAAAATAATACTCAACCAAACGACAATGCAAGAAATCATACTGAAGCCCTGAATGAAGTCAAAACTCAGACAAGGGATGAAGCTACACCTTCAGCCAAGCCCCTTCCTATAGACAGAGCTGCGACTACGACCAAACCCCTTTCCAAAGAAAAGGCTGCATTGAAGGCCGAACTTCTGCACTGAATCAATAATCATGCTCAAATCAAAGCTGAGGAAGCAGAAGCTAGGTCCAACCTTAGAGATGATGAGGGAGAGATAATATATGTCTTTCATAGCCGCAGGATTGTTCGAATCAGCGAACATCTTGTGGTGAAAAAAGCCGATGATATTCCGGCCCATGAGGCTTCAACCCTTCGGTTCATCGCTGAAAATACGACAATCCCGGTACCAAAAGTTCACGATATTCGTTTGAGGGATGGTAAAGTGGTTGGTATTGTCATGGACTATATGCCTGGTAAGCCACTAGACGACATTTGGAACACCTTGAGTCCTGACCAGAAGCAATCAATTGCTGAGCAACTCCGTGGCTATCTCTCCCAATTACGAAACCTCAAAGTGATTATATCGGTGCCGTTGGGCGCGGTACTGTCTCAATGGGCAAGTTCGGGCCTATCTATGGAGGACCCTTTGACACTGAGAAGGAATTCAATCAGTGGATTTTAAACGACCTCCATTCATCAATATCAGCCCCTCACAAATACTATGCAGAACATGCACTGGTAGATGGCCATGAAATTATCTTCACCCATGCTGATTTCTCCCCTCGGAATATCCTCGTGGATGAGAACAGTGATTGCCGGGTTACTGCCATCCTAGACTGGGAGTTTGCTGGCTGGTATCCAGAGTGGTGGGAACACTTTAGAGCATACAAGAGCTTCCACAAAGGTAAGGATTGGACTGATTACCTGTGCTATATTTTGCCCCCTCAATATGAGCGAGAGTTCATTGGTATGTCTTATGTATCTACATACTGCAGTAGTCAGAAGATTCACATTCAAACCCATCTACAACATATATCATAAACCAAGATCCTCAGACTATGATCTTGGTATTTCGTGGAAAAGAAGAAGATTTTGCGATGTAGACCTGATAACTGTGCCGCAAATAGTGCACTAGGTCATTCTTGTCAATGGAGATCAACAGATTAGAGTTGTCTTCTCATGATCTCTATTTGCTTACCGAGGCTCTTCATATGCTTTGTGCGAGTTCTTATCTCTCACGTTATATGTTTCAGCACTATCGCGACACGCGCTACCGATATATAGGAGCGCTCACAGTGTCAAATAATACTACATATAATATATACCGAGAATTGGCCTCAATTGATTCTTTTCAGGCGTCTAACAGTATTTGACTATGTACTAATGTATGTTATAGAAATGTAGATCTATAGATGTTTCACTCTATAAATAAAATCCTGAGTCAGCACCCCTTAAAAATGCACTGCTTAGGTAACAACGTCTCTGTTTCCGGCCGCGAAATCTGTTGTTGTCAAATCTCCTTGGCCTTTTTTTCTTTGGTCAACTTCTCGAACTTCTCTTGTTCCTCGACTCCCCTGGATATATTCTGGGTGCCATCTGTCATTTCAGTTCCTCCCCATTTCAATAGCCGTTAACCCACTCCCCCTATCTCCGGCTACTCACCCAACATGGCCGAAGACAAGAAATCCGACGACTACACCGTCGAAATGAACAAGCTCGACTCAGGGAACAAGGAGTTTGAGGCTGCGCCGCCGCCGT